GCGAAATTCGGTCGAAAAGTTAGTTTTGCGCTCTTCGAGTTCGAAGAAGCGGCCAATTGGCGAGGCTTGGATGATATCGTTGAGACCCATGATGATGATGACAACAGCAGTAAAGTATTTGAGAGTGTTTGGTTGGTACTCGTGTGGAAACACTTCTCGACAGGATTTGTGAGCTTTGACATCGAAGATAAGAATTTTACGATCTTGTCAGTGTTCCCACTGGTTCGAAAATTTTTCTGAACTGCAAAAGTTCCTGGACGAAAACTGGAAGTATACCACGTAGAAGCTAGTACATTACGCAGAATCTTTGAAGCCCCTTATGTCATGTGTTCGGATCCTGATTTATTGTCGCATTATGGATATAACGCAACGATTCATTTCTTCGCTGTTTTTGCGAGATCTTGGACACCAGGAACTCCATGGACGTTCGCGTTTCAGAACACATCTATCAAAAGATACTCTAAGCGCCCCCCTTCTAGACAGCTCTACTGTACCAATCAACGGAAGATTGAATGTTACAAGCGTCATGTTACAAGAGAGAGCCATGTCTGCTTTTGAAAAGCAGTGATAGATGGAAGACAGACTAGATGGTAGAGCAAAAGAGTTCGATCTGCAAGTTCTATGGAAAGTTTTCTTTTGCTTGTTGGTTGACAGCCAACGTTTGGATGGAAGCTTGTCAAAGCGTGATCTACAATCAAGGTGACATGAATATAGTTGGAAAGAAATGAATGATAATGAGTTCTATTATCAATGTCTTAAAGGACGAAACACCTCGCCTAAATCACAAGCTATTGGATCCGAACAACAACCACAACAGTTCACCTCACTTTTCATGCATCGTTCTGGCTGATTATTCTGCCTTCGACTACTACTAATACTACTGTGTAGCAACCGAAAGAAATGGTCGACAATGAGAGTGATCTCATTGTACTCAAGGACACTTCATCGTCAATGTCTCACCAAAATCAAAGCCCCATGGATCGTTGCAACAACAATTAACCTCATTTTTCATACAGCACTGCTCTGGCTGCTTATTCTCTCGGCAGCTACTACTACTACTACCACTACTACCACTACTACTCTAGTCAATTTGTGCGGTGTGCAATGATTTATCCAGTTGCTTCAACCATTTCCCTCTAGCAATTGATCGACCATTCTTCAACGAAAGCACCA